CATACATACATACATACATATATATATATATATATATATATATATACACACATGTATATATGTATACCTGTCCCTATGTTCTTAACCATGTACAGAACTTTTTCCGTTCGTTTCTCTGTTCCCTCTCTCTTTTACTATCTCAATTACTATACGAGGTTTCATGTTATGTGGCTCTATGCTTTTGCGGTGAGAGGGCAGCTTTATACGTGGGTGAACGGGAAAATGTCTTTTGAAACCTTTCTAGGTCGCTCTCAATCGCCCCACTGTCAGTCATATATACACGCGATTCAGCTTGAGGCTCTTGAGAAAATAGTTGATCTCATCGTAGTTTTCTTTTTAGAGATGGCACAAGTCGAAATTATACCTGTTACAGTTTCTTCTTTTTTCCTCTTTAACTTTAATCCATTGTTGAAAAGCCTTGTACCTCATCACGAATGTACGAATTAGAATACTAAATAAACTTTGAACGGAAGCTCAAATAAATGAATGTATATTATATTAATATTATCTTTGTATAGTAGAGTAGAGCCCTTCGAAACTCGTTATCGTTCTAAAGAAGAAAAAGGAAAAAGGGAAGAAGAGTGTATAAAGAGAAGTGAAGGAAAGAAAGAGGAGAAATAGACAAAGAGAAGGAGAGACTAGCAAGAGAATGGAAGGCATTGGGAAGCGACACAAGCGAGAAGAAGAAGAAATAGATGAGGAGAGAAAAGAAAATATACGCAGTTCTCCCAACGGATACGAACACGGCAAGGCCGAGAGAAGGAACAGTAAAATTGTGGAGAATGTGTACGCGCCATCAGGGTGGCCTAGATTCAGTCAAGACCTGCTTTCTAGGCAGCATTTCTCTTTATCATCGGTACTGCTGGTACAATGTATGGTGTATGGGTAAATCGTTGCTTGCTGTGCGGAGAAAATCTTAGTATACTTTATTAATGGTTATACGTACTTATTAATGATTTTCGCGACCGATGTAATAAACAATTCTTACTCGTGTAAATGTGTACAATTACAAATTACAAATTATTACGGTATATATCCTTCTTGCTTGTTTTCGAAATTTCTCTTCTCTCTCTTTCACTTCCCTATCTCTATCGTTGCCTATTTCGATAGAGTATCGAAAACATTGAAAAAGTTTCTCGAATTTGTTTGTTTGTTTTTAATGTTCCCACTTCGAACGGACATGTGAGACGATTTTGCAAGATCAATTGTACCGTTGTTATAAAATATTATTATTATAAAAGTTACGAACTCGTAGGATAACACATTGCAAATAATAACTGTTGCATATTGAATCCAATAATTACAGGAAATATACTAGTATTTTTTAGTAAAATGGAGCGGAGGAAGAGCAGTTTGCACGTATAAAAAGATTTGAAAAAAATAATTATTGTTGCACGATATACATTTTATGAATAATTCTGCACCGAGCAAGACACTAGTTGTGTTTTCCTTCGTATACGGCTATAGACTACGCGCAAACATTAAATAAGTGTTTCCTGCGCATACGTAATCGTTGATTATTGGACAGTTATCGTGCACGTGACCTACCGTAATCGGCGACAGCGATTCGAACGTGCACGCGGCAACTGTTCCAAATCCTCGTGGAGAGAAGCCACGAGGCGCGCGTGGAGGGACGTGTAATTCGTCTTTCCGAATGCGACAGGTTGTTAAACGTCGTGGATTATTGTCACGCACACCTACGCACAACGAATTGACCAGTTGTAGGGAACTATAGACAAAGCGAGCGAAACTCAAAACAATACACAGCAGCGCGCGTAAACGCGATGCAGAATGTCGTTTGTGAAAGATCGACAGGATTTTTCATATGCAGTTTCTTATAGCGATTAGACACAGATTCACCGACAGAGCTAATATATTTCTCCATTCATAAATAATGCGATGTTACGTTAGAATAACAAGTAGCAACGTGAAACTAGTTCTTGAACAAAAGGAATGTTTATGATGCGACCGTGAGGTGTAACATATTAGATATCAATAAGACGAATAAACATGAAACGAGTAGAAGGAAATTAAACAAAAGCACTTACCTTACCATGACCTGGCGTACGAAGAATATCACCACTGAAACTAAACTTTGGCCGATATTTGGCAACTCGGTGCCAAGGTCCGCGGAAAACACTCACTTTTGCTATAGTTATGACACTTGGTACAGAGATGTCTTCGTACTTGGCGGACAAATATGTCTTATATGAAGGAAAACGCGTGTTCACGCGATGACACACGGACAATTGTCAGTCGTCACGTAAAGCACGTACCGCGCTGACGACTGGCAGTTGTCACTTTCCGTTTGCCCGTGAAAACGTCGCGGCACGAAGTGGCGTAACGAATCACAGAGAGAGATGGAAAAAGAGAAAGACATAAATGCACACTAGGGGGCACCGTGATGGCGGCGGACGACCCGTGTTCCGTTGCGGACGGTGGCGCAAAGCGATTAAGCGATTTTGTTGTGGACCCCGATTCTTCCCTTCGTCAGCTCACTCTTCCCGGCTTTCCACTTCTCCCGCGTCGCCTTTCGCCTCTCCCGCCGGCTGCGCTACGCTGTAAACGCGCCCCTGAACGGAAATCTGCCTTCCTCCCCACTACATACACGCAAAGCCCTTCCACCACCACGAATTGCTATGATGTTCAACCGGCAAAAATCAGGATTGTATCAACTTTCTTCTTTACAACTTCTCGATTTCTTTATTCAAAATAATTAGTAAACTGGTTCGGAGATCGTTTGCAAGACCAAAAAAGGTTAATCGTTGCGACAGATTACAATGCGTGTTATATATTGTGTCGTTAGACAACAACTGATACAGATGCAACTTTCAATCGTACGTTATATTATAACAGGAGTATGCTGTTTCTACGCGTTTATATTTGACACGCATATAAAATTTTGCTATATGGTGCAAATTTACAAATTGATTCTTTTATAAAGAAGACTAACAATTATTTCGTCAATCTTTCTTGTTTATATTTATCAGTCTTCTGTTGTGTGAAAGTCGCTAGGTTCAAAGAGTCTTTCGACGATCCTGTGTTAACTGGCCGTTCTCTTTACCCCACTATTCGTATCTCGATGCGCACAACGTCAAGTTTAATTTTCTGCGCCGCGTCTCCCCACAAGAAGCACACTGTTTCCGAGCATCCCGGCTATCCCTTTGCAGAGCAGGTCGATCGTTAACGCGTAGCAGTACGGCCATTGCGTAAAAAGAAGCCACGGCGTTCGGATAGTGTACGCTGAGGACGAGACGTGTAGTTTTTTCCAAGTTTTCCTCTTGTGATATTTAGATTGTGCCAATATAGGTGAGTAATCCATGCACATTGTTCATTTACGTTTTAGATATCTTACTTCGGGTAGTTCTATTATCGTTATAACAAATTGAAGAAAAATCAAGTCGTCTTAAACCAATAAGTATATTCATCATACATACATACGCGATCTCGTAGCAAGTGTAAGTGTATGGTGTTTGAAATATTATGGATAAAAATTTTCAATTGAAATTTAGATGAAGTATTTGGTGATTCAACTACAGTCATTTTCATTTTCAAATATTTTCGAACGTTTCGCCATTTTGCTTCGGTCAAGTTTGTAAAGTCGGCCATTACGTTACGCGTGTTAGGTTGCGGTCCAGGGCCGGATGACGTAAATATTATATGCATTTTTATCGTTAAGTAATGGATTTCAATTATAGGCATATGTGTCCTCATTTTTTTGTTTCAATAGTAAATAAATTCTTAGACATGAATATATAAAAAAAAAGTGTTCTAATTCAAAGATGAATTTTATTGATCAGTCATTTATAGACGATATACATATTTCTTATTGCCTTACATTAAACGCTACAATCATCACATATTACATATAAATTGTGTGATATGGGTTTAGAAAATGTGCATAATTTTACGTGTGCTGTTTTTTTATGCGAAACAATTTTTTTGCATTTTATTTTGTCAGATATTGTGTTTTAATCGAGTCTTTTTTGTCTAATGTCAACACATCAGAAAACGTCAGAATAAAATTGTAACCTATAATATTTTCTTTTCGTCATTTTACTGTTGCGTCAAAAATGCTTCTAAACTATCAAGTAAAAATGAAAAAGTACGTGTTTTGTTGGTTAGCTTCCTCTAGTTGTAATTTTCAATCACGACAAAAATCACGATAGGGTTTAAGAGTAGAGCGCATGCTCGTTTCTTTCGTGTTTTTCCTTTACTCGTTCCTTCTTCCGGAGAAGCCTGCGCTCTCTGACGGTCAGCGTAGAGGCAACTGAGAGTAGACATTCGGCTACGCCATTGTTGAAAAGGGCAGCGCTCGAGGCGCACGCCAAGCTCGAAGCTTACGCAGTTTTTTTTTCACTTATCACCCATCCCGTTGCTGTGATATTAGATTGTTTTATATCCCGTATTAGGTGAGTGTTACAACAAGTAGTTCATTGCAATATTTTCGACTTTCGTCGAACTCTAGAGAATTTCGGGAAAATCTTAAGGTGGGGTGACATGGCGCGGGCGGATCCTCTGTATCTAAGAAAACACTATTTTTCTTAGATGTTGTTCTGAATAAATTTCTCAATGAAGTGTTTGCGATTTTGATATTTTCGTCCAGACGATACTTCAACGAGAAATTTTAATAATGAAAATTGATTGTACATTTTCTTTTTCTTTATGAACTTTCCTTTTCTCGCCATTTTGTCCGGGCGCGACCT